AAAAATTATGTACTCGTACTTAAATGAAAATCGATTTGTAAATTTTGAAGTAGATAAACATTTTTACGCAGCCTTTTTGTTTTTTTTAAATAAATTTATTGGTTAAACAAACATTTGACCAAGGCACACAGGACTAAAACTAGGACACATCTGTGTGGTGATGGATTAAAAACACGAAGTATCACCACCCCTGTTCATCCCATAGGTACCTAACTACGCAGAACACCAGAACTACGAAGAGAAAGAAAACTTGACACAAAAGGTTTGGAGAATACATATATACTCAAATAACAACGGGTTTGTTTGATTTGAAGATGGTGATGGTTAAAAATTTAATTATTATTTTTAATTTTCATACTTGATTCATCCCGTGGGTGTCGTAAGAGCCGACTAAGGGAGTAAACGACGCAGGACAACAACACTGCAAACAAAAGGAAAACTTGACACAAGCCCTATACCAACCCTTCTAGCCAGCATGGTATAGTAGGCCAAAGGCTCCTTTCTAAGGAGATGCCTATATCCAGCAGTGGACTATTAAAGGCTGATGATGATGATCACACAGGACTAGTATTCTTTTTATCATATTTTTATCCCTCTGTCATCAAATATAAAACCTATATTATCAGTTAGTTTACGTCGATATTGCATCGTGTGCGGTTCACAGCCATCACAACTTGATCGCTCTTCCGACTCCTTTAACTATTACTATTTAAGAAGCATCTTCATGACTTTTTAGTAAAAAATGCTACTATGCACTTTCTCTCAGAAAATAAGAATATATTTGCATTATTACTAGTTGGGATGATCTTATTATTGTTGCTAAATTAAATTAATTTATTTGTAACTTATGGTATAATTGTAACATTTAGACATTTTAAAATTTACACTGACATTTTTATTTGATATGTTTATTGACAAATGTAATTAATTTTTTACCAATTTTTGCATGCCGTTAGGGTAGACCGAAGAGGACATGTATAAATAAAAATGTAACAACGTTGTACACCTTTAATCAGCAAATAAATAAATTATTAATAATTAACTTTTCTCTATAATTTAAACTATTTTATATACTTACGTATGAATATCCTAATGCATGAGTATATTCAAAATTGGTTACCATATGCATAAAGTGTGCGTACTATGTAAGTTACCGATTATACCCACACATCTATACTAATACTAGCTGACCCGCGCAACTTCGTCTGCGTCTCTCAATAGTAATAAATTAAAATAATAATTATAAAGCTGAAGAGTTTGTTTGTTTGTTTGTTTGAACGCGCTAATCTCAGGAACTACTGGTCCGATTTGAAATATTCTTTCAGTGTTAGATAGCCCATTTATCGAGGAAGGAAGTCTTGTGGCGTTCGTTTATATATCATCACGCTAAGACCAATAGGAGCGGAGCACCAATGAAGAATGTTTCAAAAACGGAGAAAATTTATTACTATTGAGAGACGCAGACGAAGTTGCGCGGGTCAGCTAGTTATTATATACAATGCGTCCTCATTTAAACGTTTCCTTAAACGAGGACGTAGTCAACGCGTAATGTAACTAAAAGAATACTTTCATTCGAGTGTAATATTTTTCAAGGTCATCAATAATATAAATCATGTGAAAGTAGTCGGAATACCTCAAACCGGTGCGAAGGCTTTCATTATATTCCTGTATAATTCACACATATCCTTATACTTTAACACGTCCGCATAAGGACTATTTTCGTCTGACGTTACTTACTGACATTAGACATTGCAGATCTTTTAGCTGTTATAAATAATATATAGTTTTACTAAAACGATAGATTTAAATAGATATCCGGCTGTTATAAGTAACTACTTATAAGTTTAAAACTACGTTCGCTGAGTCAAAGAACCGCAACTCTTTAGTTTTTAGGGTTCCGTAATAGAAATGGAAACCTCTGGATACAGGTTATTAACCTACTACCCTTTTAACTAAGATGGGAACATATTTTTGGACAAAAGACTTCACAAACATACATGAAACGGACACAAAGAGCTCAAGAGTGCAGTCAACCTTCCTTTCCCGTTCAAGATACTTCCAGTTTTTGCTTCTTAAATTCCCGAAAGGAGACAAAATTATAGAGCTAGACGTAGATAATCCATACATTTCTGCCTACCACTTAAGGAATACAAGTTAATGTTTGTTTGTAATATTGTTCTTTATTGAAATTGAACTCATAGCAGTTTGTTTTTTACTCAATGTTAAAGCAAATACTATAATTATGTGTATAATTATGTCTATAATCATTTCTAAGCGGAGTGGAGGATAATAAAATATGTAAATACAAAAAAAAAGCGAAAACACGTTGTCGGGTCTGTAGCGTTTGAGAGATAATGTTCCCTCGGAAATGTTCCTTTCGATTACAAAAAGGATTTTGAAAATCCGCCCAAAATTGACGGATTGAGAAACTCCCTTTTTTTACTGAGGAACAAACAGACCTTTACATGTTAAGATTAAACCTATTTGTATGTACTAATAGACCTAATAGTTCCCTAAATTAATACAACATCTAGATCAAGTTTGTATACGATAACAATCCAGATCATATAAATAGATTTTAACATTTTGTTAGAGGTGAGAGCAGTCAGATTTTAATTAAAACAACAGAGATGTTTATTGAAACAGATAATTTAGAAAGAAGTTTAAAAGAATCAAGAAGAGTTTTTAAGGCAACAAAGACTCTGTTTCTTAAAGGAATTAAGAGGTAGATAAAAAATGTCAACTTCACACAGCGCATCATCGTACAAACGGCAGGCTTGTCTAATGAAACTATTACTTACGTATCAGGTAATTGCCAGGGGAGCAGAGAATTTCCCACACGGGGGGGGTCGTCTACTCGTCTGTAGATGACCCGAGGTATGTCGGGGCACCAGGGACTTCCTTTCTAGGGTATACCTGGTTCCCCGGCTATTAGTACCCGAGACGGCGTGCGGTTTTAGTCGATTCGGGTCCGACATGCCACCGACAGGTGGTATCCGAGGGGATTTCCGCACGGAAAAAAAGAAAAAAGGGGAGCAGAGAATAGTTTCCTTTTACGATAGCTTCTTTCTCGTCTGCACGGAATTTTAAAATTAGTTTTTCTAACAATAAAAGGGAATCTACATAGTTATTTAATAATTTATTATTTATAAGAAAGTAACATCACTTGAGTCCTTTCGATGTTCTAATAACGTTATTTATGGTTTTGGCAGACGTTTCGTAATCTTCAAGTATGTGCCCAGTGCGGAAATCGAGAACTTTTACAAATTTACGCTAATTCCTTTCAATTTTATCGATGTTAATTTGATAATGAGGTTGCCAGACTACAGAAGCAAACTCCAATCCACTTCGCACATAAGCGTTATACAAAAACTTATGAGTTACTTCATCAACAGCCTATACTAGTCCACTGCTGGACATAGGCCTCTCCTTAGAAAGGAGGTTTTGGCCTACTATACCACGCTGGCCAGACGGGTTGGTATAGGGTTTGTTTCAAGTTTTCCTTCTCTTTGCAGTGCTGTTGTCCTGCTTAGTTTGCTCCCTTAGTCGGCTCTTACGACACCCACGGGATGAATTGGGGTAGTGACAATTTGTATTCTTAATCCGTCACCACACGGACGGGATGAGTTACTTACGCATTATTAAAGGTTTTACCAACCCTCGAGATAAAGCCCAATTGCTTATAAGCTTTGTTTACGGTTTTATCAATGTGAGGAATGAAAGTTAATTTGCTATCTAAAATAACTCAAAAATCACGAACCTCAGTGACTCTCCCCAAAATCCTACCATTCAATATGTAATAGAAAAAATGATAGGATTGGATTTTCTGGAAAAGGTGATCACACGACATTGGTCTGTATTAAGAAATAAGTTATTGATTTGATTTTTGTGTCGTCGGCATAAAGCAGGACGTTTGAGTTTTTATTGGTATCTGTAATGTTGTTAGTTTTTTTGAAGTCTCATAAAAGTGGACAGCGAATAATCTCCTACCACTTGTCTTCAGCGCATCATCAAACTCACTCAGGCGTCCCTCCAATGCCACGATGTAACGGTGACAGCGGAAACACAACGTCACGGTGACCACTCGCTGAATCACTTGATACCATGACTAAGAAATAAACATTATTATCTAGTTGGATTCAATGTAATCAATATACCGATTTATCATCCGTAACTGACGGGGTAACGAAGAAAGAGGAAAATTAAATAGATTTTACACTCGTTTGAGTTGTGACTTGCAATTAAGACATCAAATTTAAAAGGTTTTTTGGAGACGAGGTAGAAAATCTCCGTGTGTGTTCTGTGTCGTGACATTATCATTTTTAACTTTAAGTGCTTTAGATACTATACAAAAATAAAAAATATATTATTTTTGGGGTGATTAAAAATTTAAATTCTCGCAAGTGATGTTAATATCTCGCACTAGCTTGCTATTGAGGACCATTATTTTACTATGGAGAAATTGAGAAGTGTTTAAAAAAAGTCAGTCCATTGTGAATTAGTTAGTACTTAATTTTATCTACTATATTTTCGAAGGCGACAGTAGCCTATGTTTTCATTGTAGTTTTTACACGTAAAATGCAATCTTATAACTCATACACACACACAGCAATAAATTTCTCTATTCGAGCAATAAAGCGATTCGTTTCCTATCGAATTACTTTCTAGTTTTCTCACAGAATATATGTGTACTACGTAACAGTGTGGGAAAATTCAGAAGTATTGCCTTTACGAATCGCATTAGAATCGATTAATAAACGTACAATCGATTAAGATCAAGACTTATATGTTTTGTAATGTTTTTATGCTCATTTCGTAACACGGATAAAAGTCCAAGTTTAAATGTAGTATTGTAAATGAACGTAATTTTATAGTTAAAAATTTGCCGGACTTTCAATATGTAAAAAGTTGTTTTCTTACAACAAACAATAATCACCTAATGGTAAGTGACTGACGCAGCAGTGTCCTAATATTCATGAAACAAAGCCTCAGAATGAAACTTACCTGTTCAATAAGGTTTCAATAAGATGTGCAGAATGCGGTAGTGCTTCTACCAGCAAATCTATGGGCAGTTCTGAGGCAACACCTTGTAGCACTCCAGGTCCGAGCCGCGACAAGATGGCGGCCGCCTCCCTGAACTGCCTTCCTTCTGCCAAAAGGAGCACGCGGCGCAACGCGAGGCGAGGCGACGTGTATGTATTCTTCTCTCTCTCCCGCTCACGGCGGATTCGCTCTCGACTTTCGTTCATTTTTGCTTCGAGTACTTGTCGTAATGCTAGCCCATTGTTGGGTTAAAATGTCCTCATCTGCAACAAAATAAAGCAAGTTATCAGTGAATAGTACTATTATTATTAGTAGATAGTACTAGTAGTAGAACACATATGACCGTTTTCCAATCTTGTAGACTTTCCTGAAAATTAAAAAAAAAAAAAAATTGTCTGGTGGGTACTGTACAGAATGCGATGAATTCTTCATTCAATTATACTCTGGTACAAAAAGAAAACGAACAAGTTTTAAGATATTTATTTGTGATACTTTAAATGATTTCATTCATATGACGACCGGATGGCGTAGTGGTTTGTGTAATGGACTGCTATTCCAAAGGTCGCAGGTTCGATTCCCGCTCCAGTCAAACGTTTGTGTGAATGAATATTTATTGTTTGATTTGGTCTGGTTGTTTCTATGTATAATATGTATGTATTTACAAAAAAAAAGTATATATGTATTTATATCAGTTGTCTAGCACCCATAGTACAAGCTCTGCTTAGTTTGGGATTAGATGGCGTTGTGTGAATGTGGTACAATTTTATATTATAAATTATTATTATAAACGCTAAAGCCTAAATACTATTTAGATTGAACGTCCTAAATGCATGGGGAATGTAAGAAATTTTTCATTCATAGACTTAATTTCTGAAGTAATACGTACGTACTTAATAGAAGAATTTTCACATTTTTAAAAGAATATTAAATGACTTTGTAATTGTATAAAATTTGTATTTTTTGTTTGCGAATCCGTATTTTGGTTGTATTACTTAGTGGTTAGTCAATTTACAGAGTGTGAATTGTACACCTAGACAGAACACACCTTGCGACAGATGAGTGGGCCAACTACCCACACAAATTATCTTAACTACTCAAATTGTTTTAACTTCTATACAAAACAAGAAAAAAGACATTGTGAAAGATATTAACATTCTTAATGTTGCAGGCCAGGTGTGTAACCCTACAGTAAAGTTATTGAAAATATAATAAATCAAGTATCATCATCAACAGTCTTTAATAGTCCATTGCTGGACATAGGTCTCTCCTTAGAAAGGAGCCTTTGGCCTACTATACCATGCTGGCCAGAAGGGTTGGTATAGGGCTTGTGTCAAGTTTTTCTTTTCTTTGCAGTGTTGTTGTAGTTTACTCCCTTAACCGGCTCTTACGACACCCTTGGGATGAACCAAGTATGAGAATTAAAAATAATAATTAAATTTTTAGCTCTCACCATCTTCCAATCAAACAAACCCGTTGTTATTTGAGTAAAGTGCTTGATTTATGACTTCGGTTTAGAGAATATTCTCTAAACCGAAGTCATAAATCAAGCACTTTCATCAAATCGTTTTATAAACTAGACATAACAGTTTTAATCGGATCTCTTTCGTCAATGAAGAAATTAAGGCCACATTAAAATTATTAATAGAACAACCAACATATTATTCTAATCTGATTCAAATTACTGTATTCATGACAAAAACCTAAAAGTAACCCAAAAGTGTGTTTTGACCTAAAGAACACCAGTTTTTTGCACTCTAACTGGCTTTACAAAATAGATGTCGCACTCTCAAAGAATACCGTTGTCCGGTTCATGTTAAAATTAGCAATAAAAAAAACGATGGAATTCTCGATTTGTAGTGAATAATGGAAATGTAATGGTGAATTACAAGTTGCCAGACGTAACATGGGGTAACTGGCGTTGGTTGTAGTTATTACCAAGTTTCAAACGGTAACGAATGAATAAAAATGAATTATTATTATGAAATCGAAGCGTTGTATTTTGAATTAACTAAGGATATGTCACCTATGTTCTAGGGAAGCTATAACCCGTCTTTACTGCAGAAGAATCTGGAATATGTTAGGTGTATTGATTTTGATTTGGTGTTGATGTCCCTGTGCCTGCCTGTAGCCACTGCGATCACAGGACTTGCAGGTTACTGCAGTCTTAATCCCGTTTCCTAATCTGACTCATGTGGTATCCTTTACCCTGACTGCTGCTTACCACAATTGACTTTTTTTCATTGTCATCTCAAAACGATTATCTTTCCAATGAAGATTGGCATCAAGCTGGCGGCCATTAGTATGATCTTGTTAAGCATTTCTTAAATTTCTATTTGCAATTTACATTTTAAAAAGCTAAGCTAATAAGCTGTCAACAAAATATCTTGGATCATCTTATATCCAATGCACCAGTTATAAAATGTAAATTAATTTATAGACTACCCTTATTTCTTGTCAACTTCACAAAAACATATCTTCCCTTAGTAATTCATGAATAGAGAATTGCATTACTTAAGCCTTTTCTCACGAACTCTACGCTAAGCTACATAATAGACGTGTGTAACGAAAGTATTGTATAACAAATACAGTTTTGCTAATAAAACAGACAAAACATAGACAAAACTCTCTGTAATTGTGTAATCCTTTCCTATTACAAGCTCAATAAAACATGCATTTAAATTCTGAGATTCAAATCTAGCAGGTGGAGTCACGTAAGCAAGCAAGTGAAATATTTGGCAAAGGCTGAAATCCATTTTATATACTTTTTACTTACTTCATCATCATCATCAACACCCTTTAATAGTCCACTGCTGGACATAGGCCTCTCCTTAGAAAGGAGGTTTTGGCCTACTATACCACGCTGGCCAGACGGGTTGGTATAAGGTTTGTTTCAAGTTTTCCTTCTCTGTGTAATGCTGTTGTTCTGCGTAGTTGCTCCCTTAGTCGGCTCTTACGACACCCACGGGATGAATAGGGGTGGTGACATACACACGGCTTTACTTAGTTACTGCATTTATATATATTTATTTCGGATTTCCGATAATTTAGTTTACGGTTACTGAGCTAAAAAACGTCACTGATAAACACGTATTTATTTCTTCAATTTACTTCTTACTTCATTTGATGCACCTTTTCGTTTAATTTGTAGGTCATCGTTCCGTTCGTGGTGATTGGTAACGCGTTAGTAACGGATATACCTTGAGTATGATTATGTAGGTACTCATCATACATACACAAGCGCATTAACAAATGCTAGGAAATAGATACACAAATCATTTGAATCCCACTTACGAGATAGGAGACAACAGAATCTGGAGAAAACATACTGAAGTTGTTTTTCTAATACCAAATTGTCTTAAGATTAAGCATTTTAAAAACACGATAGAACTTAGTGGAAGAATGTCCTTAACAGCAAAAAATTACATCCATTTCTACGACTCAATGTACCCACAATTGGTGTCTTCACAAAATATCTGTGCTCCAACCGTCAACCTGTTGATCTTTTCTGCTACCCATTGTTACTGGACCACCGTGACTCGCACAAAACCGAACTAGATATGTGTGTTTGTGTGTCTGTCTGTCCCGTTACACCCGCCACCTTACCGAGTCCATAACACGGTAAGATCAACTGTGAATTTTATGATCTCTGTGACAGTTTAGATACTGGTTCTTTCATCTATAATAATAGCTGTATACTCTATGTATCTCTATCTAGCTTTTGCCTACGGCTTCGCTCGCGTTAAAATAATAACTTCATACATCTCGCCGAGTTTGGTTTGGGTTTAATTTATATATATCACTACACAGAATATAACAACAATCAAACTTCTGTTCCTCTCAATAATAATAAATTTTCCCCGTTTTCCCTACACTTTTCTTTGATACTCGGTTCCTATTGGTCGTAGATATATCATCATCATCAACAGCTTATAACAGTCCACTGCTGGACTTAGGCCTCTCCTTAGAAAGGCGGTTTTGGCCTACTATACCACGCTGGCCTGACGGGTATGTATAGGGTTTCTATTAAGTTTGCCTTCTCTCTGCAGTGCTGTTGTCCTGCGTAGTTTGCTCCCTTACTCGCCTCTTACGACACCCACGGGATGAATAGGGGTGGTGACATTTCGTATTCTGAATCCGTCAACACACGGACATATATGATGTTATATAACCTACATTTTTTCTCGATAAATCCTATCCAACACTAACAGAATTTTCAATGCGAACTAGCAGTTCATTGTCAAACTTTACCTCTGTGTAAAATTAAGTGTAGATTTTGTTTGTATATCTTTTGTATAATTACATGTTTGTATATCTCTGGACCACCCGTTACTAAAAACCAGAAACAGAACTTAAAACAAATGTAGATGGATGAATGATCTAATCGAAATTGCATTGATTCAAACATAGATGTTTCTTCTGCCCTGTTTACCTATTACCCAGTTTTAATTGGGGTCACAACATAGCAACAAATTGAAATAAGGAATATGAAAATTATTCAGTTATTTTTAAACACTTACAACAATAGAAAGCAAATAGAAGCACGCCTGTTAATAAATAGGAATGAAACGATATAACAGTATTATTCTAAAGCTACAAATGTCACGTTAACATTCTTGTTGTATCTAAACTGCATCTACTGAAATCATTAACATGGTCACAATGACGCGACGGTCACACTTCTAGAATGAAACGTGTAACAGTTTCCGATGTTCACATACAATTGTTATTTCGGTCTCGTTTTAGAGAACACATACATGTCACCTTAGCGATGTATTCTTATTCTTATTCTTGTTTAAAAATACAACTCCCGCATTAGGAAAATATCCTGTGTTGCGGGGAATCTTACAAGCAGACATGAAACGGACCCAAATGACACCCAGACTCAGAACAACAATTTGTGGATCACACAAAGTGTCGTCCCATGTGGGATTTGAACCCACAACACCCGGCGTATTAAAGCGCAATGTACAGGTAAATTAGCTTAGAGAAATTTTTGCGTTTGTAGTAGTGTATGGTAGCGGACAGCGTAAACTGGTTTATTCTGGTTTTGTGCGTGTTTCCACTTTCCACTATCAAGTGACGATTTTTTGCTATAGATTGAAATATCTCGGAAACGGTGCGTCCTAGGCCAAAAATAACAAAAATTTTGACCCCCCCGTAAATCCCCCGGAGTTTTAAAACCTAGATGAAAGGGAAAAAAAAAAAA